TGTGATAGCTGCAAGTCAACCAAAGCTCCAAACACAATCCAGAGACCGCCAATGGGGGGTTGCTCCCAGTCGCAGCGATTCTTCCAGAATTTTACGTGGATTTCCTCGGACCATATCCCCGGTAGAAGTGGTCACATAGGCATTTTTATTGTTTTGGATCACTATTCCAAATATGTTTTTCTAAAGGCGGTAAAGAAGTTGACTGCGGATGTGGTGGTAAATATATATGCAGCAAGATCTCTTTCACGCTTTTGGTGTGCCGGAAACAGTGGTGTCTGACAATGGCACGCAGTTTAAGTCCGAGGCATTCCAAAAGCTTCTCCAAAGTATAGGGTTGCACACACTTTCACAGCTCTGTATTCACCCCAGACTAATGCTTCCGAGCGGGTGAATCGCTCGGTAATCGCTGCCATCCGATCGTACGTACGCGAGGATCAAAAGGACTGGGACGAGCAGCTCAGCAGCATCTGTTGCGCTTTGCGTTCAGCAGTGCATGCCAGTCTTAATACCACTCCGTATTACATGGTGTTTGGACAGCACTTCATCACTTCAGGAGCCACATATAAGCTTCTGAGAGCACTGCGTATGGTGGATGATAAGTCAGCAGTTTTCTCTCGGGAGGATTCGTTCGACTTGGTCCGAACAGGGCTCTAGAAGTCATGAAAAAGCAGAACCATAAAAATGAAAGGCAGTATAATTTACGATCAAGGGACATTTCTTACGATGTTGGACAGGAAGTTTTTAGGAAGAATTTCAGGCAGAGTAGTTTTCCCTCAGGCTAGATGCGAAATTGGATCCTGCCTTCTGAAGGCTAGGGTCAAGAAGAAGATAGGGCAGGCTTACTATGATTTGGAAGATTTGCAGGGGTCGTTTTGTAGGTCGGTTCCACGCGAAAGATATGCAGCAGTAAGCCAGCTGCTTCAAGCTGCTTTGTTGTCATCCTTGGAGAGTTTGACCCCCAAGTCTGATCTTTGGCGGGGGGTTTTTTAAGACGTTGTAGCAGCATCTAGAGTGTTAGCGGGTGGCGCTCTCTGTCGGCCAGGGAAGGTCAGGTGGCGCCCTCTAGCTCAGATTGGATGATCGGGTCAAGGAATTTTCGGAGGAAAAGAGAGTAACAGGGGCAAATGTCAGGCCTTTCACTCAGTGGCCCTATTAACCTTTTCGAGACCATGAGGTTGGCGCTTAAACGGAAGCGTCTAGCTCGGTCTTTCGCTTTTGGTCCCCCAATCAGTGCAGTTGTGGGTGGAAAAACTCCCTTAATTTTATAATACGCGTATACGCACAGTAAAGTGCACATGACGGTGAAAAAGTCCAGAAGGAAAAGATTTATTTGGCGAAGAGGCGTTGAATTGGTGAGCATGGATAGTCAAAGTTTGAGGGCGGCAGCGCCTATTTTCCATCGCTTCGTGCAGATCTTGGCGCTCGTTAGCTGTCGCTGGGCACAGGCGACGCCGCAAAGTGTCCCTCAGTTGGACACTGGATTGGAGGATCGCTCCCGTGTCCAGGAGAAGATCAGCAGAGGAGTCCCGCTCCTCACCCATATAGGCGGCAGTTGACACGCGCAAGCTCGGACGAGCCCATTTTTTTATCTCCCTTGTGCCTCCCTATACGCCAAATACCAGCAGCGCTCGCAAGTAGCAGCGTGAGGGAAAGGGAAAGAGGGAAGATCAGCCGAAAGTCTAGCAGGCAGAGCTAGTGCTCAGCGGATGGCTAGTTAGTGCCGTGAACCTTGCAGAGAGACAGCTGCGTCGGCGTACCCTGCGCTATTGGGAGCGAGGGAGTCCGCAAAGGAATCGCGAAAACCCCCGTGGTGGATCCGGACGGCGGGTGGCCAGAGGCATACCAGATTCCCAAGAGAATTTCATTTTTTTTTGTGATTAATTTTGTTTTGTGTGATTTTTGTAACGTTTAGTTCAAAAGAAAAAAATAGTTTTAAGCTTTAACGTTTTGGTTGGTGTCCCAGCAAGATTTAGAGTGTTTTGGCAGTAAGCGATGAGAGCGAGAGGTCAGGGAGTGCGCGCTTAGAATATTTTTCCTTCCATCTCGATATTTTTTCTCTCTCTCTTCTCCGTTAAGCAATACGTCGGTGAGAGCGCTTTCGTCGATGGATCCTGACAAGGGTGAGTGCTGTTATGGCCACATAAGGCTGCGTTTTTTTAACAACAGACCAAAACCAGCAGAAATATATTTATTCGCGGACATAATTAATCATGCGCTAGCCCATCCTCTGCCATCAAAGTTTACGCGTAACACTTTTTGCAAGCCAATGATCGCAGATCGGGAAAATTTGTCCTAACAACGATCAGCGGTTTGATCATTTATTCGTATTTATTCATATTTATTCATCCTTTGTTCTTATTTATTTATATGCGTTCATTTTATTATTTATTTCTCGTGAATATCGTAGTTTAAGTATGTTAGTAAGTTCATTTTTATAGAATTCAGAATATATTTTATAATGTTTTAATTCCTTTTTTTATTTGCCTTAGCTAGCACCCTCCCCATGTAGGCGTCCCTAGGCAGAAGGGGCCATTCCATTTTCAATGAAGGCGGCTTGGAATGGCCAAGGTAGGGCGGGCGAGACAGTCTCATTAACACCAGAGACGGAGTCGAAATCTTCGCAGCACAGTCCCTAGCTCCTCCTTGTATTCAGGGATAGGTAGTATCTCCCGGTTAAGTTTCAGTCGTAGCACGCTACTTCATTTTTGGTAGGATGAGTATAGGCCACCAGCATGAGGGGGGCAAGATCATCACCCCAATAGCCGACGAGCAGAAGCCGGAAACCTTAAGCGTGCGCTTCCCCTCGCTGACCAACAACTAGCCTGGCATAATTTGTATATTTGTGTTCATGAAACGTTACAATATATATAGCCAATACCCACTGTACCAAGAGTACTTAAAAGGGAACACACTGTAACACTTTGTTGCAGTGTTTATGCAATAAACATTCCCAGGCATATTCAGTGCGACGAAATACGATCACACATATATGCCTGGTACTACATTAGTGCAGCGTCGGCATGTATAGCATAGCCGACGGCACTTGAATATGATCCACACAAGCATGTGCATATTCCCCCTCGCGCCCCCCGCTATCAACAGCGCTGGGCATATATAACAAACATATAAATGCGGCCGCTCCGCTGCCGGCATTCCTGGCAGCGCAGCTGCGCGGCCTTACTTAAGCTATAACTGTAAGAATATCTGAAATACATTGAATAAAGTTATATCAAAGAGACGGATGTCTCTGTTTAATAATTTGTATTTACATGGCGACCGTGACAATGAGACCAAAAAATAATTCTGCAAAAACAGTTTTCACGCAAAAACAAAAGAAAATGTGCATTTAAAATACACTTCCAAATGACCGTGAACAGTGAGACCCAAAAATAATTCTGCATATCCAAATTTCACGTTTAAATTGCCTCTAATAAATTACTGGATTTTCAAAAAAAAAAAATCCAACCGAAGCTAATCATGCTAAAAAAAAAAAAAATAAACAAGAAGCGTGCTGACATAAAAGAAAATAAAGACCTGAAAAGGCACCGACAGTGTCATAGAGCACCCACCGTGATGTGAAAAAAAAAAAAACCACCAAAAATAAATGAAGAAAAAAGTCCAAACCGGCCACCGACAGCGCTACGAAGAGCGCCCCCAACAACAAAAATAAAATGAGAGAGGGGGAGGACCGCCCCTTTCACCGCCGCTGGATTAATTTCGCGCATGAGAGGCCTCACGCCACTTGTGCCATCGCTGGATCAAGCTGGAGACGGATCTCCTCAACGCTGCTCCTGTTGAGGAAAGACAGGTGACCCTTGACCAAAGGCTAAACCTATGCCCTCACATCAAGACTATTACAAACAAAGCGAGATCTGCGGCTATTAAACTGGAATGGCTTATTGGAAATGGTAGCCGACTGCCCAGAGACTGCAAGGTTACAATAGTAAAACAACTTATAATGCCAATTTGGCACTATGCAATACCAATATGGGGAGCTCTTGCTTCCAATACGCAAATAAAAAATATACAAATGCTGCAAAATAAATTAATGAGGAAATCAACTAAAGCTTCCAGATATACCAGAAACACAGACATTAGAGAAATATACAATATTCAAACAGTAGAGGAAGTATATGAAAAAGCAAGTAAACGCTTTGCTAATTCACTCATAGGCCACATAAACCCAGAAGTGACCCGTCTGTTTTTAAACCCACACGTCCCCAGCAGACTAAGCTTTAGCCGTTACAGGTACGACCTTCAGCTTCAGACACACATCCTACCCCTTAAACAAGGACAGATACAAGTTCAACCAGAAACAGAATATAGATCAATCCACACTTACCCGAAGACCGAGCAAAGAGAAGTCCTAGTAAGACAAACAAATATACTACGAGAGAGTCTTCCCATACTGCTTCGATTAGAAAACGAGGAACAGGAGAGAGTTGAGATAGAAAAAGAAGCGAGACGAGAGGAGGAGCGAAAAAATATACCTAGAAAACCCCCAGACAGATTTTGCGAACTAGAGATTAATAATTATAGAAAACTATATGCAAATGGACGAATAAGTAGAGAAACTATCCTGGAAAGAGTCTGGGGCCAGCCACCCACCATTCAAAAGATAATACTTCCGGACCACAAAGGAGACGAGCAGGAGGGCCTCGCTCAACTACACGGATAGCCTTCGACCGGCCTCACTCCGACCACCTTGCATAAGACCTAAAATAAATAAATTTAAAAAAAAAAAAAAATAAGACAAGCAAACGCAATAAAAAAATTCTCACTTACACAATCACACCTGAAGCTAACCTAACTTGTACCTGAAACAAAACAAAAAAAGACACACACAAACACAACAAAAGCAACAACTCAAATCTACTCACAAAAAGTAACAAACAAAAAAAAAACGTAATTCACACACACAAAAAAAAGACACTTAGACACGCCAACAAAATTATTAATTAATCATAAATAACCAACGTTGCGGGGGGCGGCCGCCAAACATTAATTAAAATTCATAAATAAATCCAACTTCTCCAGTCCTGTTGTACTTTAATTCAATCCATAAAACCTAAAACAAATAAATAAAATAAATTAAAACAAAACAGACAAAAAAAAAAAATAAAAAATCAAAATAAATACTCACCCACACAATCACATCCTGAAGCCAACCTTTACTAACAAAAACACTTCTTGCAGTTGCTCACTCTGGTGCACTGAAATAGAGAAATTGCTGACAATTGGTGCTTGAAGGAAAACAAAAACTTACACCTAACCTGCTACAACGGTCAGCCACAGGTGCGGACGGGCTGACCTAGCGTCAACACACAACACAACAACCACACGTTTACCTGCCAAGTCTGTTCCCGAGTTGAAGAGTGCAGCCCCTAACGAAATACACGCTCGCCAGGCTGATCACGCCTCTCAAGCTATCCAATTGTACGCGGCTCTGCTGGAAAGGTTTGAGGACCACGCCGCCTGCTTTAATTTAATTTAATATTATTGTTACAAACAAGAAAAAAAGTAATGTAAACAAACCTATTGATGGAATGTATAAATGTATAAAAATGTTAACCCTATGTAACCCCAAAAAAAAAAAAAACACCCCAAAAAAATTGTCTCAGACTTATGTTGCCAGTTATGTTTTATAGATGTTGCTAATAATAACTAGTAATAAGATAAACAATAAAGAGTCAGACGATCAATGATCGCTGCAAATACACAATTAAAAATCAATGATCGCTGCAAATACACAATTAAAAAGCTGCAAATACACAATTAAAACTGCAAATACACAATTAAAAAAAACACAATTAAAATACACAATTAAAAAGTGCACAGTTGGAAGCTGCAAATACACAATTAAAATTGAATCACGGATCGCTGCAAATACACAATCAAAAAATGGCGGAACTGACTGAAAAGAAGATGCAAGACAAGGAGGCTACAATTGTGCCCCCTACCAGGGGACAGGGGATGACCGCTGCATATGCCTCGGAGCCGACAGGTGGGTGCGTCTCCCTAATATCTAGCTCGGAGGACGAAGGGGAACACCCCTCAATGATTTTGCCAGATTCCCCAACACCATCGATGCTAGGACGGGCTCGGGATTCGCCCCCTGGGCTTGGAACGGGCGAGCAGCGCGGAACTCCAATCCCCCGCACGTCCATGACCCTCACCCAATCACCTCCACTGCCAACACTTGACGACGACAATAACAAAGTTGAAAGCTGGATCAGGGACTTGCCACTGCCTACAGCCGCCCCAGTGGCCCCTACTCATACTCCGGGCAAAAGACTATGCGAGGAATTGGATTCTACTGACGATGAACATACTGAATATGCCGCACAGATGGACGACCCTCTCCTCAAGACCCCTAAATTCCAAAGTTACGCAGCAAAAAGACATGCTTTAGAGTTTAGGCAGGAAAAATCAAAAGAGATAGAGAAATCAGACAAACTTTTAGCCTTACCACACAAGGGGACAAAAGGTGCAATAAAAGACGATAAAGTAAGATTAGAGTCAGCCAAACCTCAGCGACAAATGGAACTTCTTACCAGCACGCGCACTGAAGAACAAATCGAAGCCCAGAGAGACCCCCAAGACAAGCAGGAGCAGCTCCCATGGCAGCAGGTGCCCATCAGCAGAAAAGTGCCCCCTATTCATATCGGCGATGTAAAATTGATTCTGCCATTACTAGAAAAATTTAATTACTTAGCAGGTGTGGGAAGGTACTCTACTATTAGCTCCCCAGGGAACGGAGTCCGAATTCAGTGCAAGGATATGGAAGCCTACAATGCCATTAAAAAGGTGCTCCACGAGGAGGACATGCATATGCACACTTACCAACGACGATCTGAGCGTGGCTTCAGGGTAGTAATGCGTCACATACACTATTCCACACCGCGTGAATGGCTATCCAATGAGCTGAAGAAATTAGGTTTTAATACGCGCTTTGTGAGAGTGATGCAGCACAGACTTACGGGCAAACCCATCAGCATGTTTGAAGCAGAAATTGAACAAAGATTGGATGGTTCCCATGAGAAAGTACTGACGATCACCAATATAGGCGGACAAAACGTAGCTGTTGAAAGGCATCGAATCCCAAGGGATCCAGTACAATGTCACCGCTGCCAACGTTTCGGTCACACACGCAATTATTGCAGAAATTCACCCAAATGCATGAAATGCGCCAAGGATCATATTTCAACGGCATGTTCCAAGCCAAGAATGACGCCAGCAACATGTATTAATTGTGGTGGAAATCACGTCAGCTGCTTCAAGGGCTGTCCAGCGTTCAAAGAAGCTAAAAACAAACTTGGGATCAATAAACTGGTAAATGAGGATAGGAAAAAACAGCAATACCTAAATAAGCCAAGCGTATGGCAAATGATAGCTAAAAACACGCGACCAGACAGACAGAACCCGCCAAAAACACAAACTAAACGCATAAACCCTTTCTCTGATAAAGCTATTAACCCCAAAATGCAATTGCACAACCATACTATAAAAAAAAGACTAAATAAAATTAAAAAACAAGAACAAAGGAAACGCACCAATTCCCAGAACGGAAAACGCGAAAACAGAGTGCAGAAAAAGACAGAGGAAAAAAAATCAACTGGAATAACACTGACTAGTCCTCCAACGACAAGCGCAAAAGCCAGGCTGGCTCCAAACTGGTCATCAAGATCATTGCTCACATCAAATCCGGCAGAAAGTCACCTTAAAAGGTTCCAAAATCAACTACGCGATGAGCAGCTAATACTTTCCCAAGCGCACCAAGATGACTCAGCAAATCGGACGAACCCAACACTTAGAGGATTGGAGGATAGACTGAACAAGCTGGAGGCCAATATAGAAGCCATCCTCTCCTCAATAAAAACATTAGGCTCCCAGATTCAAAACAACACAGACAAAAACATAATAAAACCTAGCAATACCAACCATAGTTCTGTAATCTCTCCCACTCCTAAGCAATTCCCTACTCCTATGGAAACCATATAAATAAACTATCATATTTTTCTTTCTCCACTACCAAATGACCTAACTTTATGAACACAGACATCAACAGTAACAGAAATCAAAACGCTCCAGTCAGCAGTGTCCTAAGGATAGCCTTCTGGAACGCCTGCGGTATACGAAACAAGATGACTGAATTGGAACTATTCATGAATAACAATGCAATTCAAATCATGATGGTCTCTGAAACCAGACTTGCCCAAAACTCGGACATTTTGAAAATACCAAGGTATCTGACCTACCACACTGCAAACTCTTTAAGCCATCGGAAGGGAGGAGTCGTGGTATTTGTCGAGGAGAATGTCCGTCATGTTGCCTTGGAACCAATAAGCACCGACTTCTTACAGTGTGCCCCTATAGTCTTGATTCCCGAAAACAATAACGTTAAAGACATGATAGTTATTTCGCCAGTATACTGCCCCCCATCATACAACTGGGAACCAATGCACTTCAAGATGCTGCTGAAGCACTTCGATAGTATCCTTGGTCACGAAACTAGCTTCCTGTGCTGTGGCGACTGGAATGCAAAACATACATGGTGGGGCAATACGAGATCCTGCAAAAGAGGACGAGCCTTGTTTAATGCCATTAATACTGGAAACAGATATAATATTCACTCCACAGGCGGGGCCACGCACTTCCCATTTGACCGTAACAAAAGACCATCGGCTTTGGACTTTGCAATTAGTGGAGGCCTAGCAAGGCTCAGAATCCAAATCCAATCCTGCGCAGGCCTAGACTCGGACCACCTGCCACTGACGATCAAATTAGGTTATAGAGACGATATGATGTTCCTGCAAAAACCAATAAAAACCAGACTATTAACTAAAAGAACCAATATTAACAAACTAAATGAACGACTAGACCAAGTAATAAACCTAAACACCGAGATAACCACAGGCCCCGACATAGATGATGCAGTTAACATTCTCATGAGAAATGTGGAAGAGGCAATATCTTTTGCCACCAAAGAGCCAAGCTCTCACAGGGTTCCTGAGTTTGGGAATAGGCACAAGCAGCGACGACCATCAAGAGCACAGTATGAATTAGACGATGAGACCAGAGCGCTTCTCCTACAAAAAAAGCAACTGTACCAGTATCTGAAATTTTTTCGCACAGAAGAAGCTAAAAAACTGTATAAGGCCGCACAAAATTACCTAAAAAAGAAGGTCAAGCGACTAAAAGCGGATAAAATAAATAAGGAACTCGAATTAATAAACACCCAAGACAGGTACAGGATGAAAGGACTATGGAAGTTAACCAGGGAAATAAAAAGACAACCACAGCCAAACTGGCCTATTTGTACTCAGGAGAGAGACGCTAATAACAGACTGATATGGACCAAGACAAGCCAAGAGAAAGCCGAGGCTTTTGTCACTCATCTTGAAAAACGCTTTAGCCCTAGGCACACCAGCACTGAAGAGGAACAAAGAATAGTACAAGACAAGCTGGAGGCGGAGAGGCGGAGGCTGATGGCGGTGCAGGCACAAGCCTGTCCTCTCAGAGCGATCACATTCTCTGAACTGTCTCTGGCAATTAGGGAGCTGGAGATAAGCAAGGCCCCAGGGACGGACAGAATAGACAACGCCCTCATAAAAGCTTTCTCCAAAAAAGCAATCCTTTACATTCTTCATATATACAATGCCATTCTTAGAATAGGACACTTCCCGCAAAACTGGAAGCACGCAACAATCACTCTACTCTTGAAACCAAATAAATCAGCACACGATGTTACCTCCTATCGCCATGGCTCCTGGACTAAGGCTATGTCGGCGGGCCCTTGCTCCATGGCAAAGAGGAGCTCCGCCGACGCAATTTTACTTTTGTGGAGGTTGAGCTGCAGCACACTCACCATGTGCGTCTGGCTCAGCTCCACTCGACGGGTTGACTACTACCGTCAGGTCACCGTCCTCCCCCTCTTCCTCCGAGTCCAGCGCAAGACCCTGTGCGGCCTCCACGATGGTGTCCAGACCAAGGTCTTTCTCCACCTCGCCCGCCTGCAGAGTGTGCGCATCTTTGTCCTCGGGGTGGCGCTTTCTCAACCGCAGGTAAACACTGCCCATCCCCCACGCCATCTTCCCGAATCTTGGGTATAGCAGGTCCTCTGCCTCCTTGCTGATCTGGATGATCGCACTCTGGCCCCCCTCGTTGGGTAGTGGGCTCCCGATGTGCAGAATCTTCCAGTTAGCCGTTGGCACGTCGGGGTTCTGCCTCTGTAGCAGCTTCAGCGCACGGTCCCCTTGGATTACGATGGGGAAGAGTACCTTTGCCTTTGGTATGGACGGGATTAGCTCCCTGTCCACCACCTCCAGCTTGGCCCCCTCCCACAACGCTTCCAGTTGGCAGACCGTTTGCGTCAGCCACTTGAGTGTGGGGTCGTCCATACATTTAAGTATTTTCACCCCGTTGAGCCACCCTGCACCATCGAACGTGGGCATGGGGGCCGTTGGGTCCTCCTCCATTCTGGCGAACAGCGCATCCACGAGCCGCGCGTGCACCGTCTTCCACCGCGCCGCCGTTATTTTGCCATTCTCTTCGCTCCGGTCTATGAGTGCCACGATTAAATGTCGTTTGGTCACCTCACTGACCTTCGCTTTTTGGGGACGTTTCGCCTGTTTGGGTGTGGGGGCTGCCACCTTGGGCCCGCGTTGCCGCTTGCTCGCCGGAGTGTCGTTCTTGGCACTCTCCGGTCGAGCGTTGCCTTTTGG